TTTTTTGAGACAAGGTCTCACTGTGCATTTAAGGCTGGCCTTGAACTCACAGTGATGCTCCTGCCTCAGCCTCCTGAGTGCTGGGATTGCAGGTGTGCACTACCACGCCCAGTTTATGATGAATTTTTTTTTAAGGAAACATCTTCCTGAAAAGAACATTTCTGACTGCAGAAGGGTACTTGAAACATACCAGTTTTTGTTTACCTTAAAAAGTTGGGTTAATGGGGCTGGAGATTTAGCTCAGAGGTGCCAGTGCCTGCCTCGCTAGGACAAGGTCCCAAGTTCAATCCCTGGTACCCCCCAAAAAACAACAAAAAAACCCCAAAACGTTGGATTAAATAATAAAAGCAATGCTTTACAAAGTTCAAATGATTAAACCCGTCTAGAGATTTAAGCTGTCGCCACCTGAGCCCGAAGCCCACTTCAGGTGAGGCGCCAGGGACCCGTGTCAGCCCGGGGAAGGCGACGCCTCATTTTGGGAGGAAAAAGCGAAGGTTTAAGTGATTCGTGGCTGGCGTTTCCTTTTCCTATTTTGCTTCCTCTGTCCCTTTGAATACTGAGAAGGTAGGTCTCTTTCCCAAAGGTTAACAGTATGCTTATGAACTGTCAAAATGAAACTATCTTTGTAAAAAGAAACTGAGCTTTCCTTATTGTTGGAGTCAGCTCCAGAGATCGCTTTCTCCTCGAATAGTACCCTGCATTTGCAATTACTTACTGTGAGCCGATTTGGTGAATTATCTGACTGTCAGAAGTATTTACAGATGTTTTCTGGCCTTATGATGTAACCTTTTCTACTTAATTTCCAAAGGAGTGTGAGTGTATCATTTCTTGAGGCCTAAGAAATGGAAATGCCAAAGTAATTTTAACAACCTTCCCCAGGACCTTTCACAACCAGAAATCTAAGTCACGTTTGTTGTCCACTTTTATTTTGATGTGAACAGGTGTTCAGAAATAAGTTGGGGTGGAAATTTCAAAGTATTGTAGAATTAGGCTGAATTCAGGTCTTTTGTTTTTCACTTGGATTAATCAGATGAAGAAATACGTATGTGAGATTTAAATCTTTATCGAGTATGTCATAAACGGAAATAAGGACACCCTTACCTTGTTCCTAATGACTAGTATATTTTGTTACTGTTTTGTTTAATTTTAGAACAACCGTGTTTTAGCTGCCCTTGGCTGTGTCAGTAAATACAGTATCCGTTTCTTAAAATGTAAGGACTGAACTCATTAATTTATGTAAAACACTACAGTAGCAGAAAATATAGCACTGGTTCCATAGTCAAAATAAGCACTGTAACTTGAATGTATTTCTATTATTGCCAAATAAAAAAGCTGTGGTACATCTGTCTTGGTGATTTCTGCTTCATTTTATTTATTTATTTATTTGTTTATTTTTGAGACAGGATCTCACGAAGTAGTTCATGCCGGCCCTGAACTCACCTTGGAGCCCAGGCTGACCTTGAACCACAGATCCTCCTGCCTCAGCCTCCGGGTGCTGGGATTACAGGCGTGCCCCACCAAGCCCACTTTATCCTGCATGTTTTGAACAGTGCTTCTGTCTGAGGGCGAGGTTGTGAATGGCTGTAATTGTCTCCTTCCCCCTTCCATCTGAGAACTCTTGGTCTCACATAAGAGGCCACGTGCAGGCCTGAAGTCCAGACAGCTGCATGGGTGTGGCCGTTGCTATCTTTGTGACTGATTCATGGGAAGGGGTGGTGCAGTGTGGCCGAAGCCTGAGCTCAGGGTGGGCGTGTCAGGTGGAGGCCAGCACCTCCTCTCCTCACCCCTCGCTTCATGCACAGGCCACTCGGGGCCCCCCACGACAGCAGGTGGCCAAAACACAGTTTGGGTCTGTTGAGTGGTAGGCGCAGTTAGGTGGGTCTTACACAGATAAATGTCCAGTCCTTGGCTTTTTTCTCAGTGGTGCTATACTTGTCTAAAGTGTTCTACCACCGAGCAACACATCCAGCTCCTCTTTTTGTAATCAGTGGGTGGGGGGCAGGGTCTCACTGTGTATCCCAGGCTAGGGTTGAACTTGTAATCCTCCTGCCTCAGCCTCCCAAGTGCTGGGATTCTAGGCGTGGATGTGCCGCCATGCCTGGCTTAGCGAGTCCCCCCCCCCTTGAAACAGTCTCACTGTGTAGTTCAGGGTGGCTTTGAATTCACTATGTAGCCCATGCTGGCCTTGAACTCATGGTGATCCTCCTGCCTCAGCTTCCTGAGTGCTGGAATCAGGTGTGTGCCACCACATCTAGTTTAGCCTCCATTTTTAAAGCTTTTCAATTAAACATATGAACTAAAATATATTACTTTATGTGTAGATCACACGAAGTGCGGTTGAGTCTGCCTGTCTGGATAAAGGGCTGAGAGGAGCAGAGCTGGGGCCTAGCTGAGCATCTGCCGTCCCCTCCCCGCACCTCGTCTGTACTAACCCTGCCCTTGAACCCCTGTAGGTCACAGGGCTGGCTGTGTGGGGCCTGGGTCTGCCAGCCGCTCCTTCCACCCCTCTGTCCCTGCAGCGCGTTGTTCCTGCCCCGGCCCTGCTACCCTCCTGCCGGCTCTGATTGGGCTGCACAGCCTTGGCCTGTGCTCCAGATGAGCGGGGACCAGAACACCTCAGTCTCCTTCCTGTCTGCTGGGGAAGGTTGGAGTCAGCACAGGGAAGAACAGAGCGGAGCTTTCTTCTGTGACACTTTTACTCTTACTTAAAAGCCACAGCAAAGCCTCTGACATCAAACCCAGGCTTGGCACAGAGCCTCGAGCTGTTTGTTCCGCCTGGGTCCCTGAGCTGGCCTCTCGGTAGCCACCACGGTGCTTGGACCGAAGCAGCGCCCAGATACCCTGTCCACACTGGACTTCGCGCCCCTGGAACCCAGAAGGGCAGAGCACGGTATGGCAGAAGATGGGGTAGGACACGAGTCCACCCTCCTCTCTGCTCCCCTCAGCCCGGCTGCCGACTGCCTGAAGTCACCTGCTGGGATGAGGCCCCACTCCCAGCTCCCAGCAGCTTGGCTATACGGCCGGCCCTGACCCAGCAGAAAGACTGCACAGGTGCGAATACCGGAAGGTGATGCATTGTCTTCCTGCCGGCTGGGTACCACAGCGGGGAGTTAGGTGATGCAGGTATTTTGATTTTGCATGAATAAGTGTGCATTCTTTGACCAATCTTTTGAAATGGCATCAAAGCTTTTAGCTGGAGTAGATACTCACTTGCTATTTCAGGATAGCTGTCTCCAAAACCAAACCCATATGGCATTATCTGGGATTTCAAGAACTTTCACATTTAAAAGAGAAGAAACTTGCTGGGCATGGTGCACACCTGTGACTACAGCACTCTAGGAGGCTGAGGCAGGAGGGTCACAAGTTTGAGCCCAGCCCAGGAAACTTAGCAGAACCCTGACTATTATGGTTTGTATATAGATGTCTCTGCAGAGCCTCATGGGGTCATAAGTGGGGCTTTTCAGAGGTGGCTGGATCTAGGGTGTGTGCTGCTGGGATCAAGGATGACTGATTCACGGTGTGATGCTAAGGTTAAGGTTGTCCCGCCTTAGGTGTGAGATAAAGGGCAGAAAGAGGGCGGCGGCTTGTCACTTGTCACTTGCTTCTCCACTACTTTGCTGCTCCCCTGCCTTCTGCCCACCATAAACTGTTTCTCCTCTACGATGCCCCTCTGCCAGGCCACCCTACCTGGAACAACTGACTATCGTCTGAAACTCTACAAATTATGAGCTAAATAAACCTTTGCTCCTTTAACTTGGGGCATAGGAAAGGTAACTAAATAGTAACTGTCCCAAAATAAAGAGGGGGTAGGGTGGGGGATTGTAGCTCAACCTCCAATGCCAAGAAAGAAAGATGGGAGGGAGACAGAGAGAGGGAGGAAGGGAAGGACTCAGGTATGTGAAAAACAGCCAGTGCAGAAGCTCTGGATTGTTAGAAATGTGTGCCCGGTGTTTTGCATTTGCCTCCCCACCCCCTAGCCTGATGATACTTTTTGTGGGCTATTTGCCTTTACCACGTCTTTTCAAAGCATTCACCTTAGCTTTTATAAAAACGACAGTTTCCAGGGCTGGGGATTTAGCTCAGTGGCGCTGCCGCTTGCCTTGAAAGCACAAGGTCCTGAATTCAATCCCCAGTACCAAACAAAATAAGGCTACAGTTTCCATTTTTGTTTCTATGTTTGTATTGCTTCGGGATGTCCAAGGTTGGCGTGGGCATAGTGCACCCACCCTGCATGCCGAGCCCTGGGTTTGAATCCTGACGCTGCAGAGGGGAAGGCGCCGGTGGGGCTGAGTGGGAGGGAGGCGGGGTTGAGTGTCCAGGAGAGGTGGTGGGATGGAACCGGCCAGGCCCAGGCCCTGAGCAGCTGCTGAGGCAACAACTCCTGCTCCCCAGCCACTGTAGGCAGAGTGCAGCCCTAAGCGAACCGAGAACCCGTCGTGACGGGTGGTGTCGCCCCTTCCTGGTGGCCACTTGGCTTAGCCGTAGTCCCGTGTGGTGCTGGGGCTCAGATGTGGGTGGTGACCAGTTGGCCACTTGGTCCCTGGGCACCTGCTCCTCACCAGAGCCCGGCTCGGGCCTGCCCTTGCCCTTGGGTCCAGAACCCTAAACCAAGTGAAGCTTCCTGCTGACGTTAGCCCGCCTCTTACTGCTTGTTTTTGTGACAGTTTCGCTGTGTAGCCCAGACTGGCCTCAAGCTCGCCGACACCCTCCTGCCTCAGTCTCATAGTTCTGGGATCGTGCGCGTGCACCAACCTGCCCGGCTGTCAGCCTCGGTGACTTTGTGATAGTCACAAAAGAGAAAAGTAGAGAGGGCTCAAGAATCAGGTTCCTCAAGAATCCCTCCTGCGAGGCCTTGCCCGCCCGCCCGGAGTCTGAACTCGCAGCCGGCTCCCTGCTCCCTGCCGCCCTGATCTTCCTCCTGCAGGCACAGCCTGGAGCACCACTCAGCTTGCTCATGGCTCTCCCACTGGAAGGCGTTCTGGAGCAGGATCCACCATGTCGCTCCGGGGTCCTTGGTAGGTGGGTGGAGCTGACGTGTCCTGAATGAGTGAGGAGTCAGCGGTAGAAGGCTGGGCCCCGCAGCTGGGGAGACTCGGAGGATCTCAGGGTGGCCCTGCAGAATGGGGAGGTTACAGGAGACACAGGGAGGCCGAGGGCACCGAGGGGGGACGCGCCAGGGGAGGAAGTGACACGGAAGGGGAGATTTTGGATTCACTGGAGTCAGAGAAGGAGGTCGTGGGCGTCTGTGCAGGGCGTGGATTGTGCAAAGACCCTGTGGCCGGGATGAGCTGGGGTGGGGCTGAAAGGGGTCTCGCGCTCCACCTCACTCCTTCGAGCTCAGTTGAGTGGCTCGGTCAGCAGCCAAGGAGAGCGGCCTCTGTCTCCCAGGCCTTGCCCTGCAGGAGAGGCTGGGCACAGCAGAGGGCCGGCTGGGAGGACCAGGCCTTCCGGGAGGCGTGGAAGGCGTGCGGGCGCCTGCCTGAGCTTAGAAACCCGGATTTGCTGTGAGTTAAGAAAAGGCAGAGGACGCAGACGCCCAAACCCAGCGGTGCTGGAGGCCGAGGCAGGAGGCTCAATGGGTCCAGTCCAGTCTGGGCAAGTTAGCCACTAAGCGAAACCCGGCCTCAAAATATAAAGGGGCTGGGGCTGGGGCTGGGGCTCCGTGCAAAGGCCCTGGGTTCGGTCCCCAGTGACGCGCGTGCGCGCGCGCGCACACACACACACACACACACACACACTCACACTCACACTAAAGCTGGAAATTCATGCATGAAAAATTCCTCCTCCTCCACCTGCAACTTTCCCGTCAGATCTTCTGGCGCTCTGGGGAGAGGAGCAGCAGGCAGGTGTCGCCGCGGGCGGCCTGGGGCTGTCGCGGGAGACGGCC